TGGACCGGGCAGAGAACTCTGGAAGCACAGGCTCCCGCGGGAATGCGATGAGCCGCGTGCAGCGATGCGAGCTCCCCGCGCACCGCCGGTGACGGGAAGAGGAGGAGAGAGGTAAAGTGACGAAGGCGAAGTGAGGGGGGAACGCGAGGGAGAGCGGCTGCACCTGCTGGGACGTGGGGGAGGGACGTGGGGAGATGGCACAGGGGGGAGGTTCTCCTGCTCCTCCTCCCCCTCCTCCTCCTCCTCCTCCTCCTGCTGCTGCCCCTGCTGCTGCTGCTGCTCCTGCTCCTGCTGATGATCCTCCTCCTCCTCCTCCTCCTCCTCCTCCTCCTCCTCCTCCTCCTCCTCCTCCTCCTCCTCCCACCCTCCTCCTCTCACCTTGTCATCCTCTTCCTCCTTCTCATTCCACAGGGAGGGCAGGAGAGCGACTCTTTGTGTTCGGCGATGACGGGCGTCGCGGGGGGGGGGAGGGGGGGTATGACGTAACGCCCCCCCCCCCCCCCCGCCGTGTGGCTCCGGCACCACAGCCGCGCCCGCGCGCACGACGCGACGAGCGACAAGCGACAAGCGACGACGACGACGACGACGACGACGACGACGACGACGCGAGCAGCATGTAGGTGGCGATCTGCCCCACTGCGCCTGTATACACCACAACGCTCGCGTGCACCACAGCGCGCGTGTACACCACAACGCCTGCGTACATCGCAACAACCGTGTGCAACGCAGCGCCTGTGTACACTGCAGTGCTTGCGTACACTACAGCGCCGGTGTACATGTGCACACCGCAGCAACCATGTGCAACACAGCGCCTGTGTACACCACAATGCTTGCGTGCACCGCGGCGCCTGTGCACGCCACAGCGCCTGTCTACACCACAGCATCCGCGTGCAACGCAGCGCTATTGTACACCACAATGCCTGCGTGCATAAGACAACGAGCCTGTACGTGAGGATCTGCTGCGGAAGTGCCACGCCAGGAAAGTGCTGATAATCGAATGCGAGGTTTTTCCCTCTTCCCTTCTCCTCTACTTCCACCTCCTCCTCCTCCTCCTCCTCCTCTTTCTCTTCCTCCTCCTCCTGCACAGTCTACATACATATGTTCTACATACAACAGTGGTGCTCTTATATTATACATACATTATACATACATTCTACATTCTACATACATAGGTTCTACATACATTCTATATTCGCGTCATAACGATTCCTTCTGACATACTACATACAACAGTGGTGCTGTGTTGCACACGGTTGTTGTGGTGCACGCAAGCGCCGTGGTGCACACATGCGCTGCAATGCACGCAGGCATTGTGGTGTACACTGCTGTGTTGCACACGGCTGATGTGGTGTACGCAGGCGATGTGGTGTACGCAAGAGCTGTTGTGCCCGCACGCGCGGTGGCACAAACTGACGCTGTGTTGCACGCGGCTGCTGTGGTGTACATAGGCGGTGTGGTGTACGCAGGCGCTGTGGTGCACGCAGGCACTGAGGTGTACAGAAGCGTTGTGGTGCAAATCGCCAGCTACATGCTGGTGCCACCCGTCCTCCGTCATTCCTAGGCATTCCCAGGCGCCGCCGGCGCGAAGCGTGACGTCATCGACCCCCTCCACCCCCCCAGATGAGTGCCGTCATCGACCCGGAATCAAAAAAACAGGCTCCAGCCGCGTCCGCGCGCACGACGACGATGAGCGACGAGCGACGAGCCACGAGCCACGAGCGATGACGACGACGACGACGTCGACGACGATGACGACTGCGGACCAGACTCCTATGCGGATTCCTACGCGGACACCTACGCGGATCCCAATGCGCACGGCGGCAGTGCCTGGAGCGCACTGGGGGGGGAGCGTTACGTCATAGGGGGGGGGGAGCGGGGGCATGACGCCCGTCATGCCCCAAGCAATAAAGAAATGGTCTCCAGGCAGGGGGGAAGGGAGGAGGGTTGGGCCCTGCCTGCAAGCAGCTGCAGCTCAGCAAAAGCTTGGGCCATTACTATGTTTTGAGCATGCCAGACTGTCGCTGAGCCCCAGCTCGGGGGATATAGAAAACCCTGAAAAGTTGTTACAACCCCACTAGGGGGTAACTAAGTGTTCTTTCGGCGGCCTTATTGAAGGACTGGGGTCCCAACCATAAGAGGTAACTAATGATTTGTTCCCCGAGGCACCCGATGCGTAACAACAACGACGACAACGACGACGACTCTGAAACTTTCTCCTCAGAAGCTCAATCCTGAGGAGGAGGAAGAGATGTTAGGACCAGTCCTAGTCACCTCCGAGTGAAGGGGTGAGTGGGATCAAGACAAAAGATTTATAGTGGTTATGTGTGTCTCCGGGGGCCTGTGCGCCCTGCGGGGACCTCCGACCTGAAGATTACCACCGCATTCTGCGTGCTCCAAAGATCGGCTCGCGACCAACAGAAGGGAAGTCGTGAAAGTTGAAGTTGTGAAAGCTGGGGGGTGGCGCCCAGGGCCACTCAGCAATGCAGGGTATGCCAGTCGCAAGCCCGCTGCGCCGCTTGTGAAGCGTGGCCTGCCACATCGCTCGCCAGAAGCGCTGGCTATATTGTGACATGCTGATCGGTCGCGCCGCAGACTGGACGAACAACCGATGCAAAAGAAAAGGATGCGTGTCCTATTCGTGCTGAGGTGTTGGCGATTTCGTGATCATCCGTTCCAGCCAGTAGATGAAGAACAGATAGGAACAACTTGAGCCAATCCAAGGTTCGAAGACTTGATAGGGAATCAATGAGAAAGAGAGGGAAAAGGAATTCAAGGGTGGCGCCCGCCTTTCCCATCATGAGCAACCCGAAGAAGCCGGTGATATTGCGGAAGGGTGCCATTCCGTCCATCTGCTCTGCCATCATTGCCCTCTCCTCCTCGGGGGGCGTCAGTGGTGATGCAAGATGCAGATGGGGATGACAGCACATGACGGCGATGACGTATGTAAGACAGGAGGGAGGAGGGGGGCCTGGGCAGGGGAATCAGCCTGGAAATGGACCCATCCCTGAGCAGTTTCAAGTAACGCTAGCTAAAACCTCTCTCTGCACGAGCCATGTGTTGGATGCGCCGAAGTGGGTGGGGGGACGCATGCGAACTGCCCCACTGGGGCCATCTGTGAAACTCCCCTAGGGGCACGATCGTGAAAGGGTGCCAAAAACGGTGGGCGGGACGCGTGCGAAACCTGCCTCTGCAGCCGCAAAAAAAACAGCTCCCCAACGGGCACGAAACGTGCGAGGGGTATGCCCTAATGGGTGGGGGGGGGGGGAAGGATGCAGGCTTTCCCACTGAGGCCGTACGTGCAGCTGCGGGCCAGCTCGGCCTGTCTCGGTTCCTGCACCAACGGTCCAGAGAGGATCCGCCAGCGCGCGTGCCAACACGCACATGCGTTTCGCTATGCATCTCACGCCCGCGCAGGGGCGAGCGCGGCTGCGACCTTTCAGTGGTCGCACTGGCTGGCGCAGGTTAAAACCAAGATCCGGGCGATCAGCACGAATCCAAGATACCTGCTGCTTTGGGTGCACACCGCCTTTGCTTCCACCGGTCGCATGAACTTCGTTTTCGCCGTCCGCAATCATTTCTCCTCGTTGTCCTGGTGCGCTTTCTTCACCATTCGAACACGACCATCCGTACTAAAGCTCTGCATGCCCCTCCGCCGCTTCGCTATCGTCCGCCTGTCATACACATCAATGTCCTCTTATCTTGGCGTCGCCGGCGTCGCTTTTACAAGACCCATGGGCCCATGGGGGCGTGCAGTGCAAAAATTCCCCGTGCCTTCACGCGGGGGCGCCCGCCGTTTCAAAGATGAGTTTGCGTTGGAAAAGGCATGCTGACATTGTCACGCTTGTAAGTTTGATGGGTGCGTCCCTGGGCAAATCCGTGCGTGTATATGTATATACAAATATATATATATATATATAATCAGAGAGAAAGAGAGAGAGAGAGAGAGAGAGAGAGAGAGAGAGAGAGAGATGTGTGTGTGTGTGTTTGTGTACATATATATATATGTGCATATACGTATGTGTAAACGTATGTGCAAGTATATGCGTACTGATGTATACACAATGTATGTGTATATGAGAACGTGTGGGTTATATGTATGTATATATGAATGTGTAGATATGTATTTCCTGGCGGCAGAAGCGCAAAGCGGACTCCGATCCGGTCGCCGTTGTGGGAGCACGCGCCGCGCGTGCCGCCCGGACACGCAATACAGGCGGCTAGCGGCTTGATGTCTCGTCGTCGTCCTTCTCCACCCAGGATCAGGAAGGCCCCCTCCCCTCTCTCACGGCTTCCTTGAACAGCCTGATATGGTCAGCACGGTCGAAGGAGAACTCTTCGCCCCTGTGTGTGGGCAGGTGATGTAATGTGAGACGATGCCAACACATTGATATGCAAACATTCCACCAATTGAACCTGGATCTCCCGGCCCGCCTAGTTCCGTAATCCTTGAATCGTAGTGTATCGATATGAATGCAAATGTCTGCAATGGGATCAGACCTCGGAGATGACCTCGGAGATCAGCATTCGCCGTCTCTCTTCATAGCACCCACTGATTGGCACGATTTTCTTGACAGACCGGGATCCACGGTCGTGGGCCCTGGCTCTGTCCCCTCATCTGTTGGCTATTTCATTGGCACGGTGAACAACAAACTCGTTTTTGTTCGACTTGTTGACGTTGGTTCTTTGGAGTTTGAGAATTTGCCTCAGGCCTTTGAAGTGAAGCGTGTCAAGTTTCTTGTTAAGCGAATCATATATTCGCACAGACTCTAGCCCGACGGCGCCACATACGCAGAGTTTGAGCCTTACGCTGCAATCCGAATGTTTCCAGAACTCCCCTAATTTTTCCAGGTGACATAACAATACGGGATCAACTTATTCACCGCCCTGACAGAGTCGCCTTTGTCGTTCAACATGCAGCCCAAATATTTCGACTCGCTGTGCGGTGGGACTTGTTGGCCGTTTCTGTCGGTAATTACGTTTTGACCCCCTACGCACAATGTTCTATACCATACCGTACTTTTCGCCGTCCCTCTCGATTGCGTGTCGCAGTTGTTGCAAGGCTTCCTTGTCCTCTGGAACAAATATATTGTCGCCCGCGTAAAGGACCTCATCGAATACGGCGTCCAGTACCCTGTGGTGACCAAGTGTTTCACGAAGCCCCGGCGTGCTGTGGACGTCCCGAAAACTAACTGCCAGAACGATGAGAAAAAATATGGGGACAAAGGACAGCCTTGTCGGATGCCGGTATGTTGGCGGTGCCATTTCGAGCTTCTGCCCTCCACTTCAACGTGGAGCTGTAGATTCTTGTACGCTTCTTGCGTGAGCCGAATGAGCTTCTCGTGGATACCCATCCTTTCCAGAGACTTAGACAGCCCCGCGTGCGACACCTTGTCGAATGCTTTCTCCCAGTCAAGCAAAATCAAATTAATATTATGACTCGTCCGCTCTCCCAAATCCAAAATCCGACGTATGATGTGTACTGCGTGTGCCGTTCGTCGCTCCTTCCAGTCCGGAAGCATTATTGTACCTTTTGGAGGTACGGATCAATCGCGGCGGCAATGCGACGCTGTAGCACGGCCGCAAACATTTGGAACATTGAATTCAAAATGGAAGTGGGCCTGTAGTTGCTTCAGTTGCCCGCGTTTCCTTTCCTGTAAATCAGAACGACCGTTGCTTTTAGTTGCTCTTCTGGTATACTCTTCCCTCTCCACCAGATGTTCAGGTCCGTGAGAATGAGAGTAAGCATTTCTTAGTCCATGTCCGTGAAGATTTCCATGGGCACTTCGTCTGGCCCCGGCGCCCGGCGCCTTTTGAATTTTCGGATTACCTCTCGGAACTCGGGAATGTCCTGGCATCCGTGTTGTAATTCAAACGTTGTGCTATGATCCGGGGGCCGTCAAAAAGCTCTGTGCGTTCATCCTCCCTCGCCGACCGGATATGTTGCTCCAGGTGCGTTGCCGCGCCTTCAGCCTTGTCAGACACTCGGATTGTTTTCCCACTCGGGACTTTTTGTGTATATGGGAGGGGCTTATAATCAGACTTCAGATGTCGAATGCCGCACCAGCGATCTCTGATATCTACATCCTTACTCACAGATGCGGGTATCCTCTCTTTGCGTTCTTTCCGTTTCTGTCTTTGGACAACCCGATTCAGCGCCTGAGCCCTGACGACATTCATGTTCATCAACGCGTGTCCGCGTGCTTCGATGAGTCGGAGCAGCTCCGCGGATATGCCTATTCTATCGCGTTTTGCTTTTCCGATGGGGATTTCCTCCTTTGCAACATTGAACGCTGTCTGCAGGAAGGACGTAATGTTCTGGGAGGGAACAATGGTATTGCTTAGCCGTTGGTTATATTCGTGTCTTTGCGTCAGACTGCACTTCTCAAATCTATCCCTGGTGCGGTGTTTGATGACGGCCTGTGCATTAAACTTAACTTTAAGTTTGGCGTCTATGGGACTATTGTCAGAGTCAACGTGCGCCATGAGGTCACTTTCGCAATCGGTCCTATTGTTCCATATGTTGGGAACAAACAGTGCATGCGGATGCTTATGTATATGCATGTTGTATACAGATGTACATGCTTGTGTCGGTAAATACGCGTGCATGTATGTAATATATGCATGTGCGCTGGTGTACATACATAGATATGCAAACATGTATGTATTTGTAAATGTACACATATATATATATATACGTACATGAAGATGTGCCTGTATATGGACATGTGCATGTGTACGCGTATCCATAGTTATATCTGAATGTATATGTGTATGCATGTGAACATGTAACTTTGTGTATGTATATGTACACATGTGTATGTCAGAGTCAGGGGCCGAACTGTCATTCATTGTCCCTGGGTGCGTGGCTGAACTGGGGATCCGTGGTGAGGATGCTGCTTGTTGCATTGTTGTGTTGTTGCGTTATTGTGTTGTTGTCGTTTGTTGTCGTCGTCCCACTCGCGACCGACCCCGCGACCCAAACCGCGACCCACCCCGCTACCCAACCCGCGACCCACCCAGCGGCCCACCCCGCGACCCACCCGCGACCCACCCGCGACCCACCCGCGACCCACCCGCGACCCACCCAGCGACCCACCCGCGACCAACCCCGCGATCCACCCCACAACCCACCCGCGACCCTCCTGCGACCCACCTAACGACCCACCCGGCGACCCACCCCGCGACCCACCCGCAACCGACCCGCGACCAACCCGCGACCCACCCTCGACCGACCCGCGACCCAGCCGCGACCCAGCCGCGACCCATTTGCGACCCACCCGCGACCTACCCACGTTAGTTTAACGAAAAAATCTGCACCTGCGGCGGGCTCGTTGTATAATGTGTGAAACGTTGGCGCCTGCGGCGGGCTTTTCCAGAGTCTTGCAGACTGTCGACGTCCCCACATATTCACTCTTACCCGCATCTGCCGGGTGCCACCTATGTGTATGTATATAATTGGATGTATGTGTATAGACATAGGTTTATGTCGGCGTACGCGTATATGCATATGTGTATGTGTATAGGTACGTAGATGTATGTGTATATACATATGCATATGTATATGCACATATACATGTATATGTATGTGTACATGTATGTGCGTACGTCTATGTGTATGTACATGTAAATGTGTAAGTGCACACATATATATATATATATATGTATAAGTAAGTGTATATGTGTATGTATAAGCGTATGTATATATATGTATGCGTAAGTATATGTATACTCATATATTCATATATAAACGTTCATGTAAATGTATCTGTCTAGGTATATGTATGTGCGTGCGTACATAGATCTGTATATGTAGATGCTTATGTACGTGCATATGCATATGCATGTGTATATACATATGCGTGTGTACCAGTATAGAGAATGGTTAGGTGCATGTCTATGCCGCTGTACTTGCATGTGTAGATGTCTGTGTACATGTACTGGAAAACTACATATGTATACACATGTGTATATGTAAATGGGTATGTGTATGTATACGTATACGTATGTGCATAAGTGCATGTGTAGACATATGTAAGTGTATGAGTGTGTGTATCTGTGTAGGTGCGTGTATGAACACATATGTATGGAAACATTCATACACTGGGGGGTGGAAGGTGAGATCGCAGTGAAACAGAACCCACCACACAGGTAAACATGTGTCGGTTTCGTGTTCGTGTCGTGCGTGCGGGCGAAGCGAAGCCGCGTGGGCGGGTAAGAAGAATGAGCCCTCCTCCGACTACGGCGCCGCTGGGCCAACACACCGCCCCCCCCCCGGGTTGTCCAGAGGTGGCCGCGGATGTCCCGCAGATGTCTCATCGGTTTCCCGTCGGTGTTCCGTCGGTGTCCCGTCGGTGTCCCGTAGTGAGATCGGTCGTGAGATCGATAGCGAGCCCAATGAAATCGATCGTAAGATCGATAGTGAGAACGATCTTGGGATCGATAATGAGATCGGGACTGAGATCGATAGTGAAATCGATAGTGCGGCCGATGCGAAGATCGATCGGGGGACTGGTAGCGACATCGATTGTAAGATCGATAGCGAGATGGATAATAACGTCAGCCATAAAACAAATCGGTAGTAAGATTGAACGTGACATCTCGAGTAATTGCGATCGTAAGAACGATAGTGAGATCGAACGAGTGCGATCGATAGTCGGATCGATGGTGATATCGATACTGGGACCGATTGTGAGATCATCCGAATGGGTTCGAAAGTGAGATCGAGAATGAATTCGATCGGTTGAGATCGATAGTGGGATCGATAGTGAGGTCGGTAGTGAGATCGACAGTGAGATCTGTAGTGATACCCATGGTGACATCGATAATGTGATCGATAGTGAGATCGATAGTGAGATCAGTACTGAGATCGATAATGCGATCGATCGTGAGATCGACAGTGACATCGATAGCGACATCGATCGCGAGATCGATAAGACAATCGTTTGTGGGGGACGTTGGTCCCCCACCCTCCCGCCGACCCGCGTTATCACCCGATGGGTGGTCGCATTGGTACAAATATATGAGCGCGTGGAATAGGAGAGGCAGAGAGCAAAACAGCGAGAGAGGCCAGACATATGGACAGCAAGGCGAAGAGGACACACCCCTCCTCGGTCAGACGCCGCATCTTCTTGCCCCCGCTGGCGGGCAAACACCTCCTTGGCGCTCGGGCGTCCGTCGGCCCGCAAGGGGAGTCCCATCACCCTGGTCGTCACCACGCCCCCAGGTCAGCAAGGGGCGGGGGTGGGTGGGGCAGAACGAGAGAGAAGTGCTGGGGGAGAGACACAGCGAAGACTACGAGAGAAGTGAGCGGGGAGAGGATGAAGAAAGCGGCATGGAAGGGAGATATGGACAAGGGAATCTCACAATCCATTTTTTTTGGGTCGGCGGGGGGAGAGCGAACCTATTCCGCTAATAAAGCTAGGCGGGCTGCGCACAGCTTCTATTGGGGAGGCAGGACGCACAGGCAGGGCGGGGCCTCTCGGGCGGCCCGGGGTGGGCGGGGCCCCGGGGTGCGGGCGGTGCTGCACAGGAAGAGGTGCGCCGCGGACGGGGACCGGAGGCGAAGATCCGGAGGGTGAGTGATGTGGTGTTGCCGTCAGCGGCACGTCGTGAACACCAGCCTCAAACACTGCGGAGGAGGACGTGCCACGTGACCAGGTCGACGCCCAGGGGGGAGAGGAGCGCCATGAGGGCGATGAGCGACGTGGATATTTTACAAGCAGGGGAAGGAAGGAGGACAGAGGAAGGATGCACCAGGGAGGCAAATCATGGGATGAGGTCAGCGACACAGGAGAGGAGAAACACTATAGAGAGAGGGGGAAAGGAGTGAAACAAACAGAGCGTGATATGGATACATATACATCTATAGAATGTACGTGGTAGTGTGGAGAGGACAAACTAGAGAGAAGAGAAAAGAAATCAAGAGCCGACCTGAGGGGGGAAAGAGAGAGCGAGAGATATAACTATAGATGCACACCCATACCATATGAATATGGAATAGGAAAGGGAAAGACAAGCCAAGTGAGAGGAGATACGCAAGAACACATACTGCACAGTATCGGTGATATACACGCTAAGTAGAGGCGGATAAACATATATGATATGAGAGAAGGAGGGCATCAGGGAAGTGGAGGGAAGACGGAGGGGAGGTGCAAGAGAGAGAGAGAGGTCGAGAGAGAGGGACAACAAGGATTAGTATCGGAAGCAGACTGGGGCGGAGGACGTCTGCGAAAGGAGAGAGAGAGAGAGAGAGAAAGAAAAAAGAGAAAGAGTGAGAGGCAGATACATAGAAAGAGAGAGAGAGAGGGAAGCACATAAGGGAGGGAAGATATATGAGACAAGAAAAGAGTGATGTGTCAAAAAGAGCGGCAGGGCGCAATATTAGAAACGAGAGGGAGATGGTGGGAGTGAAAGCAAGAACAATAAACAGTACCAAGCGAATACGTGCAGAGACCTGGCGAGATGAAGGAAGAACGGGCATATCGACATACGCACATATACATACTAGAACCACGCGCGCGTTTCGCGCGCGCTTAGGTTCTAGTCGCATGTGTGCCACGATACTCGGCCCTCGATGTCGCTCGGCTTCGTGCCCTGAGTCCATTATCCAGAACACGTTCCCTCAGGAAACGTTGCGGGCGTTCACATAATGTCTTGTGCCTGAGAGCCTCGTGGAAGCTGTAGGACCGCATGGCTTCTGGAGCTGCGCGCGCTCAGGGAAACCCTCTGGAACGCGCTGCGTCTGGGAGCGTCATGGACTTTGTGACACCCCCTACACGCCAGAGTAGCTCCCAACACAGCCCCAAGAAGACGCCCCCTTGTCGGCCTGAAAGCGAAAACTCACAAAACGCATTCGTAAGAGAGCGGCCACTGCACAAGAGGGAACCCAGCGCGTTCTTGGCCGCAGTCTCCAGGATCTCCTCGAGGGCCTCTTTGCGGGCCTCTTTGAGAGCATCTTTGAAGGCCTCTCGGGCGCCTTTTTGGGAACTCCTGACCTTCTCTGGGGCTTCTCGGACTCTCCCAGGGTGCTCGTGGCCGGTCTGACGCCCCTGGGGAGCCACTTGGCGGGACTCCGGGCCGTCCAGGGGCTCTCTCGGGGCCATCTTCAGAAGCTCGTGGGCGTTGTCGGCCCATCCTGCCACCGTGTCTGTGGATCAGAGGCGTGTCAGATGCATGTCGGGGTCCCCTGGGATGCTTCCTGAGGGCCCCTTGGGATACCTGCCTCTTGGATGCCTCTTGGGAGCCCCCTGGGGCATCTCGGAGGACCTCTTGCAGGCCTTTTGACAACTTTTTGAAGGCCTCTTGGGGGCCTCTTGGGGGCGTCCTGTGGCCTCCTCTTCGTGGGTTCTTCTTGGGCCGTCTTGGGAACCTCTTGGGCGGTCTTGGCGCCCTCTGAAGCCGTCTTGGGGCCCTCTTGGGCCGTCTTGGAACCATTTTGTCGGCGTCTTGGATGATTTTGGAAGCGTCTTGGGCCGTCTTGGGCGGTCGGGGAAACAACCTCAAAGACCAATTGGGAATATACGATTTTTGCATTTTGGGCCCTCGTGGAAAACTTCTGGGAAGTCTTGAAGCCAGAATGGGCGTCTCGGAGCGACCGTTGGGCGACTCGGGGCCCTCTTGGGCCGTCCTCGGGGCTTCTTGGGGCCCCCTTGGCCCTTTCAGGGGCTCCGGGGGGCTTCCTTGAGCGAGGAAGGGCCCCGGTTCGAGGTCCCAATTTCTGGCCCCCGATCCCGGGTCAACGCAGATGTTGGGGGGGCAGGCGGAGGAGTGAGGGAGGGGTGCCCCGCGAGGGGGCCAAGAGGCGTCCAAGATGGCTCCACGAGGGCTCCCCAGATGGTGAGGTGTCCGAACCCTCAGGGGCGTTGTGCGGAGGATCCAGCCCCAGGACCCCTCCTTCATATACATATATATATATGTACATACATATACACATACCTAAACATAACCATAAACATTTATATGTATAAGTATACATACATGCATGCATACATATACCTACATACATACGTATATACAGCCATACATACATTCATTCATACATACAAGCATGAATGCATACATGCATGCGTAAATACATATACACATGCATACCTACCTACCTACCTACCTGCCAACATACATACATACATACATACATACATACATACATACATACATACACACATACATACATACATACATGCACGTATGCATACATACATACACGTATGCATACATACATACATACATACATACATACATACATACATACGTACACACACATACATACACACATACACACATACATACACATGAGCATACATTCATACACACATACCAGCATACACACATACACACATACATACACACATACATACGAACCTACACACCTACACACCTACATACATTCGTACATATGCAATTATAGGTTTACATGTGCACATGCATGGGTATATGTGTATATGTTTACATAGCTATGTAAACACATGACATACATACATATATGTATGCAGTGTATATATATATACATACATACATATACATACATGTGTGTATATGTATGGTCGGTCACCCCCCGATCGACTTGTCACACGCCCAAAGAATGAACCCGCTGAACCGGTCATTTTACACAACCGCACGCTTGCTTCACTGACAAAAACTGGCTTTCCCAAGACTCACGCATCAGCCTGTGATCCAAACTGCCGAACTCAGCCGCTCGGCCCATCCGTCACGGGCACTGTGCGCACAAACATTATGGTTTCGGTCGGTGGCGCCAGTCACTGTGTATGTTCTGTTGTCTCGCTTTTGATGAAAATGTTGTTTTGTTTTTTACTCGGATGCCCCAGTGCTCGCCGCGGGTTTCCCTCCTAAACAAGAAACAACAAACAAACAACAAACAAGCATGCATAGTGTTTCGTGGTTTCGCAAACAAACAACAAACAACACAAGCTAACAAACATAGCATTTCAAAGCACAATGCTCGCCGCGGTCTTCCACCTGCGCGTTTCTCTCACCACCCGTAACAAAAACATCCAGGATACACAAGGATTCGTGGCCTCCCGGGCCACAATAAGCAATACCATAACAAGCATACACAGCGATTTGCGGCACAGAGGGCGCCACACTCTGCTTGGTTTGTTTTTGTGGGGTATCGCGAAACCATGAGCATCTGTATATGGCTTTGTTAAAGTCTCTGTGGGGGGGTCTGCAGGTATCGTCGTCATTATGGCCTTTCTTGGGGATTCCTTGGGACAGTCCTGTGCTCTCTTAGGGGTCTCCTGGGCCGTCTCCAAGCTGTGTTGGGCCGTGCTGAGGGTCTCCAGGGGCCTCCTGGAACTGTATCGCGGTGATCCTGACGGCTTCTCTTCCTGCCCAAGGGGCCGTCTTGGGGCAATTTTGGGCATCGGGCGGGCGTCTGGACGCCCGTTGGCCCCCTCGCAAACGAGCCACGACAGGCCCGGAGGGCCCTCCAGCTGGCCAAGAGAGCGTCCAGACGCGCTCATGACGCCCACGACCGCCTCAACGTGCAGGAAACCGTAGCCCGGGCAGGGTTTCAGGAATTGGGAGGGAAGGGGAATGCGGGAGGAGAGCGTGGGCGAAAGAACGAGAAATCGAGAGAGAGAGAGAGAGAAAGAGAGAGAGAGAGAGAGAGAAAGAGACGAAAAGGGAGCGGACGCAAAGAGGGGAGGAAGGGAGAGAGAGAGAGAGAGAGAGAGACAGAGGAAGAGAGAATGGTTGAGGGAGGGAGGGAGGAAGAGAGAATGGTTGAGGGAGGACACGTATATGTGTGTGTGTATAAATTTACATGTACACACATTTATATACATATGCACGATCGGGAAAGAAAGAAAGAGAGAGAGAGGGAGAGAGAGAGAGAGAGAGATGGATACAGAGAAGGACACTGAGGCAAAGAGAGATAAAGGAGAGAGACGGAGGGAGCGTTGAAACTCTCGCAGACAGAGATATGGAAAAAGAGAGAGAGAGAGAGATAATGATATATATATATATACATCTATATATATATATATAAACTGGCGAAAGGGCAAAATACCGATACAGAGAAAGCGAGGGCGAGGGGGAGATACATATTGAGAGAAAAAAAGGGCGAGGGAAAGAGAGAGAGAGGGGGGAATAGTTGAATTGGCAGAGAGCGAGAGAGAGAGAGAGAAAGAGAAAGCCAGAAA